AAAAAAAAAAAAAAAAGTTATTACCATAAAATGGCAATATCTGTGGAATTGTGGAAAAGAAATTTGACAAGACTGAGCAAAGAGCAGAAGCTTCTTTGAAAGTTTACCTCACTGTTTATATATAAACCTGTGTCATGTATATAAAAATCAAAGATTACCTGAAGCAGCTACATCATCTGGGGGAAAGAGATTTGGGAAGTTTGATGTTTGTTAGTTATGTTTGATTACTATTTTTAGCATGTGAAACTGTGCTGAAATTGATGAGATAAAAAAACCTGAATCCGTCAATGAGAGAAATGTGCTTATGGATGGATGGAAGGAAGGAAGGAAGGAAGGAAGGAAGGAAGGAAGGAAGGAAGGAAGGAAGGAAGGAAGGAAGGAAGGAAGGAAGGAAAGGAAGGAAGGAAAGGAAGGAAGGAAAGGAAGGAAGGAGTTGGTTTAGGACTTGTGCATTCTATCAGAAACTTCTACTGAGTCATGAGCTCTGCCTCTTGAGTTATTTGGTCGGCAGAATCTCCCTTGTGCATTACAGCTCATGTTCCTGTAGATGAATTTAGAAACTCTACCTTTGATCCCATAGCCGTATCACATTGATCTTTGAGTGTTTAGAGCTTATAGAGCAGATTGATAGAGTATCACCAGTCAGCAGCTAGCAGAACAGCTTTTCCAGCTTCCGGAAAAGAGGTAACAGAAGAAATGCCAATAAGCTGTGTATGAAGAGCAAAAAGTAATAATAATAAAAAAAGACATAAACTAACCTGATTTTATCTAATCCTTTAATAGCATTATTAGTATAATTAGCATAATCCCCAATTTCTGCTCTCAGCAACCACTTCCCCATAAATGTTCATAGTCCTCAAAAACACCTGTTTGGAGAAAATAAATGGGGTCACTTGCTGAGACTTGTCCCAGCTTCACTTTCATGGCAGCTATCTCTGAATGCTTCTCAAGAGAAAAAAAAATAATAAAATAATCAAACAAAGAAAAAAACCCAGAAAACCAAACCATCAGTCCATTATTTTAGGTAAGCTTTATTTGAAAAGCACAGTTCTTTTTCCATCATGCCTTTAACCTGAGTCAGTTCTGTAGACTCAGAAATGTGATGGTAAACAGGGTTAAACACGGACAAATATTTTACAATTGAAAACTCAGGGTTTGCCTCCTGCTGCAGAAACATTCAGTAGGAGAGTGCTTGTCTCCCCAGATCCCACGTAGGTCACACAGGTGGAACAGGGGAGCCTTCAGTTCCTTCCTCACCCTTTTTTAGCATTTCTTTCAGGTTAAAACTGTGGATCATCAGAGCATAGTAATTAATTGGAGTAAACTCCTACAACAAGCAGATTATATTAACAAACATGTACTGTGTAAACCTCCTGTACAAGTCTCTCCTGTTCCAAGTGGTACTGTTACCTCATGTGTCTGTGGGAGTAAATAATTTTCAAAATCAGTTTTAAAAATCACTGGAACATTTGGATTATGCCCATGACTCCCAACCACTCTTCTACTTCTTTCTTTAGTATGTCATTAACACAGACATGCTTGCTTAACACTTTCCAATGGATAGCACAAGGAAAAGACACACAGGAGAGCTGTTGGCTGCAGTGGTACCCCCAAGTGTCTTTTCTCCTTGTCTATTATGCCATCTAGGAAAACTCTTGCTGCTTCTAGTTTAGTTTTATGTTTTCATACCGCCTGCTCCCTCTCCCCAAAGTGTAATCTCAGCCTCCCTCAAAGACTCCAAATCAGTTTGGGGTAGACATTTTGTTCTCCAGGTGTTTATGCTGTTTGGTATCTGCTGGAACTACTGCTTCATGTCCATCTGGTTTAGAAGTGTCAGTCCAATTTCCTTGTCATTCTTCAGTGTCAACATGATGTTTTTGCCATCCCTGTCTCAATATCAGACACGTGTTCTGCACTCATCCTTTGGTAATATCTGTGACTACACAAGCTTTACCAGCAGCTTTAATATATCTGTTTTTCTTTCAAAAGCAATTGCTTCACCTAAATTGTTTAAGTAGTGTCATTCACCTTAGAACCTAGAAAAATCATAGGATAATACAAAGCTTGTCAGAAGGCAGAGCATTTTCCAGTCTGATCACGTTGACTACTCTTTGTTTTTATCAAACTATCTGAAATACATCCTGTTTGTACCTTCACTGTTACAATCTTCAACCTCCAGCAAAGGGTCAGATTATATTTTCATTACCAGAAATATGTTTGTTCCCCTGAAGCTGTCCCAGCCCATTCTTCCTCTCTGCAAATCAAAATAACTTCTGTATATGTCAAGAACGCATGTCTTTAAATGCCACAGCATTCAGATTTAGCTTCCCAGTCTTTGCAGCCAACTCTTTGCTTCACAGTTGCAAGGTTATCTGCTTAGATCAACTTGTCTATACAAAAATATTTAGCAGGTCGTGACAACTTAAGGAGCCAGAGACATCCCAGCTGCAGTATCAGACCTGATCAACCTGGTACTGGGCTCCGGAGGAGTTACCTTGTGCCGGCTATGGGAATGATCACCCCTTAGCCTAAACAGGCTACTCTATAACATTATGTCTTCTTCTATGCTTACCTTTAATTTGTTGTCTGCAACATATTGCATGTCTGGAAAATAGAAATTTTTTTAATTTTTTTTTCCTGTGGTGAACCTTTGAAGAACCACTTTATTTTCCATGATATTCAGATAAGTAAGTTTCTCTAAGCTAATATCCAAATATCAAAACAGATATTAAGAATGATCTTTCAAAGCTGTGTCCCTACATTTTCCTTACGTTTGCAGGGCTGTTA